GAGACCAGATCCGCCGCTGGTGCGCCTTACCTGAGAGGGAGATGGGGGAGGAGTGGTCCTCTCCCGAGGAGGGGCCGCCATGGGGCGGCCAGCGCAGGTGGGGCCGCGGAAGTGTGCGAAAGCGTTCCCGTGGCCCTGCCAATATGCGACGAGGTTGGAACACCATGGGGTTTTAGTCGGTGCGAGTCCGACATAACCCGTCCTTGCCCCCGCGAGGCGGGTATGCGTAGGCATTTCCCCATGTAAAAAAAAAAAAAAAAAAAAGGTTAGGTTAGGTTAGGTTAGGTTAGGTTCCCCCCCGAACGGGTTCCCGCCTTGTCGTGGCGGGGGGGCTTAGTAGCCGTGGCTTGGTCAACCGCGGTGAACGAAGAGGAACCCCTTGGCTGGCCCGAGGTGTAGGGCCGGCCCGAGGTGGCCACTCCGAGTGGGCTGGGGAAGCCCACTTCGGATGTGTGTTGGTGGGCTGCGGTGAGAGGGGAGTCCGCACCCTCTACCGCTGCAGCCGAGGTCGAGTCGCGGAGGAAGAGGAGTGTTGGTATGGCAATGCGCCACTCGCCCTATCCTCCGCGACTCAAACGGGGCCGCACCGTTGATGCGGTGGTGGTGGGGCCGCGGGGGGAGAGGAGTGTCGGTATTGCGAGGCGCCGCTCTCCCTATCCTCCGCGGCCGAAACTTGGTTGGCGGCGGAGCCCGAGACCAGATCCGCCGCTGGGGTCGGTAAAGCGGGCGCTATTAAGCGCTCGATTTACTGGGCCCCATGGCCTCCGCGTATCGGACTCGGGGGGGTCCGATACGCAGGTGGAGTTGGAGGCTGTGGAGGGGGGTAGCTGAACACCTCGCTACCCCGTACAGGAGACGAGGCCCGGACAGACCGGGCCAGCACTAGTGTGGGGCTGCGGAAGAATTTGGATTCCCGCGGCCCCGCGCGCACGTGCGAGGAGGCACCGTGGGGTTTTAGCCGGTAGGAGTCCGGCATAACCTTCCGGTTGCCCCCGCAGCCGGAGGTATCCATGAGGATTTCCCCACGAAAAAAAAAAAAAAAAAAAAAAAAGGTTAGGTTAGGTTAGGTTCCCGTGTGGAGTTGCCAGAGCTCCCATCGGGCGCGTCCCCAGGTGGCGGATAGGGGAACGCCACTCAGATATGGGTGGTAGCGGGAAACCGTCGCGGACCAAAACTGGCTGGGTGAGGGCTTGTTTGCATAGCGGAGGGCCTATTAGTTGCTTCCTGTATCCTCTCCCTTGAGAGGAACAGAGAATGTGACATGCGCGGTGAGGTGCCAGGTGCACTCGGCTTTTGCCGACGCCGGGCAACCCGTAATTGCGGGATTTTCAGGGACCACACCCTGTAAAAAAGGAAACTGAATGGGCTCAGTGTTCCCTAACCCGGTCTCTGGGCAGGCATGGGAAGAACCCGTATCGACTCTGCCACCATTCGAACCTCGGAATCCCTATGGCGTGTCGTGGATCACGTCTCGCGGCGCCTAAGGGGCCGAGGGCTCTTGGCTTAACCGCCTGGAGTCGCGAGGATGATAACCTCTTTAAAAAATCACCCGAAGCTCAAGCGTGGCACGCCGTGAGGAGCTGCATGGCTGATGGGTAAATGTTCAGTCGTTAGCGTTGCCCCCGTCGGGGTACCGGCCGACACCCTTGACGGGTTACGCATAGGCTTATCCGGGCAAAGGGGGCTCTGCTCGGATGGACTGTTATTTCCTCTACACTCGTGGGATAAAAAATGGACAAAGAAAAATATTTAAAAAAAACAGTAGAGGTAGAAAAGGCAGGATCAGATACTGGTAGCGGAGGAAATCGATCGCGTGGGACGTCTTCCGCTAGGAAACGTCCAGTGTGCCGATCGTCAGACGAGGAAGGCCTGCCGGCCCCCAAGTTGCCGACTTCGGGGAGGGGTCGGCAGGCATCGAGAGGGGCGAGTACTTCGCAGCCGCGGAGGGATAAGCACGGACGGTTCGTGTGCTCCAATACCTCGGTGGCTAGCGAAGCAGATAGTGACATGGGGTTCACTACGGAGGACCCTGGCGATGGCGGTGAAAGCTGTGCCTCGCTGGGGAGCTCAAAGGCGGAGCTCAATGCCGCCAAGAGGGAGCAGCGCAAAGCCGTCGCGGCCGACGAAGTGTCAGAAATGGCCCGACGTGCTCGCGAGCGACGAGCTGCTCTTGCGGCGGAAGGGGGAGAGCCATCTGCGGTGGCCTTAAGCCAGCTGGCTCTGGATGGGGTGGACTTAGTCCTGAAGGTTGCCACCAAGTCCGGCAGCCTGAAGGGCACGTTCACCCGTGGCTTAAAGGAGGCTGTAGCGGATATCAGGGAGGCGGTTGGCATCCTCCTCAACAGGACGGCCTCTGACGAGGTCGCAAAGTTACAGGAGGAAAACAGCCGCCTCAGAAATGACTTGGAGGACCTCCGACGGCAAGTCGCTGCGCTGAGCGAGCAGCAGCAGCAACGCACGTCCAGTGATGCCGCACCTGTAGTGGACCCGACTCCCGCACTGCGATCGGCAAGCCCTCGTACCGACGAAGAGGTCGAGCGCATTGTCCGGCTCTGCATGCTCCAGTGCGGGAGCATGGTTAACGCTCGGCTGGAGGCAATTTCTCGGCGTCTCCCGGTGGAAATCCTCCGTCCGCCTTTAGCGGCTGACACGCGGAGGACTGAGGAGCCGCCGAGACTTGCGCCTCAAAAGGGGAAGCCCGCGGAGGGTAACAAAAAGCCCGCGGAGGGAGCTCCTCCGAGCAACCAGCCCACCACTGCCGGGTCTAAGGGTGAGACCTGGGCGAAAGTCGTGGGCCGCAAGAAGGCCCGCAAAGCCGCCAAGAAGGCCGCAGCAGCCGCATGTGCCCCAGGTGGAACCGCAAAGACGGCTCCTAAACCTGCACAGCGGACTGCCAAAGGCGGTCGCAAGAGACCGGCTGTACATGTTCCGCGGTCCAACGCTGTGACAATAACGTTGCAGCCTGGAGCTGTGGAGCGTGGCGTGTCGTACCAGTCGGTCATCGCCGAGGCCAAGGCCAAGATCAAATTATCTGATCTTGGCCTTCAGTCCGTCACCCTCAGGCAGGCTGCCACGGGTGCACGACTGTTCGAGGTGGCTGGCACTGTGAGCGGCAGTGCCGAAAAGGCGGACGCACTGGCCGCCAAGATGAGGGAGGTCCTCAACACAGAGGACGTCCGGGTCTCCAGGCCAATGAAAACCGCAGAGGTGCGGATTGCTGGCCTGGACGACTCCGTGACCTCAGAGGAGGTGGTGGCGGCCGTTGCCAGAAGCGGAGAGTGTCCGCCGGACAAGGTGCGGGCTGGCGATATACGCACCGACGCCACCGGACTCGGCGCGGTCTGGGTTCGGTGCCCTGTAGCGTCGGCAAAGAAGATCGCCGATAGCGGCAGATTGCTGGTAGGCTGGGTGGCGGCAAGGACCAAGCTCTTACAGCCCCGGGCTTTGCAGTGCTTCCGGTGCCTGGAAAAAGGGCACGTCCGGGCGAAGTGCACCGCTGAGGTTGACCGTAGTGACCTCTGTTTTCGCTGCGGCCAGCCTGGCCACAAGGCGGCCCTGTGCACCGCGGCGTTCAACTGCAGCCTTTGTTCTGCTGCGGGAAGGCCTGCGGAGCACAGAGTAGGCGGAGGGGCCTGTGGGGCGCCTGCCAGCAAGGCCAAAAAGAAAAAAGAAAAGAAGAGGAGCACTAAGCCTGCCGGGTTAACCTCGCTGCCCCCGCAGACTAGCAGCTCCGCGGCCGACTCCCGGCCCAGGACCGTTGCCGAGGGGATGGAATGTCAATAATGGCACAATTCCATTCTCTCCATTTTCTCCAGTGCAACATCAACCACTGTGCCAGAGCTCAGGATCTCCTACTCCAGAGCATGGCAGAGTGGTCGATTCACGTGGCTGTGGTCGCCGAACCGTACTTCATTCCCGCCCGTGACAACTGGTTGGGATGCGCTGACGGTTTGGTGGCCATTATTGGTGAGACTCTGATCGACCCGTCTCGGGGCCGCGGCTGGGTTGCTGCGGTCTCGGGCGGCATCGTTATTGTAGGGGCGTATTTCTCCCCCAACAAGAGTCTCGCCGACTTTGAGGGTTTCCTTGTCGAGTTGGGCGCCGTCGTAGGCCGTTATCACCCTCGTCCCGTTCTGGTGCTCGGGGATCTCAACGCCAAGTCATCGGCGTGGGGATCTCCGGTCACTGACCCTCGGGGCGAGGTGCTAGAAGAGTGGACGGTGACGACTGGTCTGGTCGTCCTGAATCGGGGTTCGGAATACACGTGCGTGCGGCAGCGGGGTGGGTCGATAGTGGACGTCTCGTTTGCTAGCCCCTCTGTCGCCAGCCGAGTCCGTGACTGGCGTGTCGCCGCAGAGGTGGAGACGCTGTCGGACCATCGATATATCCGGTTCGACGTCTCTGCCCAGACTGCGAGCGGCCGCCATCCAACAACCCCGATTAACGACGGCCCGCGTTGGGCGCTTAAGCGCATCGACAGGGAACTACTCGAGGAAGCTGCCCTAGTTCAGTCCTGGATCTGGGAGTCGACGACGGACGGCCCCGTCGACGTCGAAGCGGTGGCGCTATGGTTTCGCGGGGCGATGACGCAGATCTGCGACGCGTCAATGCCCCGTGTCCGCCAACGATCCGCAAAGCGCCAGGTGTACTGGTGGACCGCCGAGATCGCGCAATTGCGCATAGCGTGCGTTGCGGCTCGTCGCCGGTACACCCGATACCGGAGGCGGCGTCGACGGGATTCCGCCGAGGAGGACGCGCTGTATGAGGTGTACCGCGCGTCTAAGGAGACTCTGCGTCTGGCCATCGGCGACTCAAAGTCGCGTGCCAGGGAGGAGCTACTGGGGTCCCTAGATCGGGATCCGTGGGGGCGCCCCTACCGTTGGATTCGGGGCAAGTTGCGTCCCTGGGCGCCTCCACTAACACAAAGGATGCAACCCCAGTTGCTAGAGTCGGTGTTATCGACTCTCTTCCCTGAGCGAGTGGGACACGTTCCCCCGGCGATGGCTTCGCCCTCAGCCGCAGACTCTCCAGAAGAGGAGAGCACCGATGTCCCCGAGGTGACGCAAGCAGAGACGAGAGTGGCCGTGTCGCGACTCCGGGCTAAGAACACAGCGCCCGGACCCGACGGAGTTCCTGGTCGAGCTCTCGTCCTGGCTCTGAAGGAGCTAGAGCCCCAGCTGAGAGGGCTCTTCACGGCATGTCTCGAGCAGGGTCAGTTTCCCAGTGTGTGGAAGGAGGGGAGGCTGGTCCTGCTCAGGAAGGAGGGGCGCCCCGCGGACTCACCGTCCGCGTACCGGCCCATAGTGCTGCTCGACGAGGCGGGCAAACTTCTTGAGCGTATCATCGCAGATCGCCTCGTCGGCCACTTGTGCAGAGAGGGACCGGACCTGGACGAGAACCAGTTTGGTTTTCGTCGCGGGCGCTCCACCATAGACGCTATTACGCGCGTGAGGGCCCTGGCGGTGGAGACAGTATCCCGGGGTGGGGTGGTGCTGGCGGTGTCTTTAGACATCTCCAACGCCTTCAACACCCTACCCTGGAGTTGTATTCGGGAGGCACTGAATTACCATCGCGTGCCTCCCTACCTCCGCCGCATAATAGGGGCTTACCTAGAGGAGAGATGCGTTACCTATTGGGGACGTGACGGCGCTGGTCGGCGCGTCATGTCGTGCGGTGATGATCATGGCTTTTGTTTTCTGCGGAGCAAATTTAAGCTTGTTTTTGACTCCCCACCTCCGAACATGTGCGAGGGCCGCATTGGCCCGTTCCTGCACGTCCAGTGCTTTATCTCCCGAGAAGATCAGGACCACATCATCTGCGAAGGCCTGACAATGTTCCCCTTTATCGTTCAACTCTTGCAGTAGTGGATCTAGTAATAGGTTCCAGAAAATTGGACCACCTATTGAGCCCTGCACGCACCCTTTTGAGGTCTTCTTGACCCATTCTGCCCCAGAATACTTGACGCAGACTGACCTATCCTTAAGATAGCTGTCAATCAGCCGCCTCAAGTTTATCGGGCATCCGGTCTTTGCAAGTGCACATCGTACAGCTGGCCACCAAGCGTGGTTAGGTTAGGTTAGGTTAGGTTAGGTTAGGTTCGTACCAGTCGGTCATCGCCGAGGCCAAGGCCAAGATCAAATTATCTGATCTTGGCCTTCAGTCCGTCACCCTCAGGCAGGCTGCCACGGGTGCACGACTGTTCGAGGTGGCTGGTACTGTGAGCGGCAGTGCCGAAAAGGCGGACGCACTGGCCGCCAAGATGAGGGAGGTCCTCAACCCAGAGGACGTCCGGGTCTCCAGGCCAATGAAAACCGCAGAGGTGCGGATTGCTGGCCTGGACGACTCCGTGACCTCAGAGGAGGTGGTGGCGGCCGTTGCCAGAAGCGGAGAGTGTCCGCCGGACAAGGTGCGGGCTGGCGATATACGCACCGACGCCACCGGACTCGGCGCGGTCTGGGTTCGGTGCCCTGTAGCGTCGGCAAAGAAGATCGCCGATAGCGGCAGATTGCTGGTAGGCTGGGTGGCGGCAAGGACCAAGCTCTTACAGCCCCGGGCTTTGCAGTGCTTCCGGTGCCTGGAAAAAGGGCACGTCCGGGCGAAGTGCACCGCTGAGGTTGACCGTAGTGACCTCTGTTTTCGCTGCGGCCAGCCTGGCCACAAGGCGGCCCTGTGCACCGCGGCGTTCAACTGCAGCCTTTGTTCTGCTGCGGGAAGGCCTGCGGAGCACAGAGTAGGCGGAGGGGCCTGTGGGGCGCCTGCCAGCAAGGCCAAAAAGAAAAAAGAAAAGAAGAGGAGCACTAAGCCTGCCGGGTTAACCTCGCTGCCCCCGCAGGCTAGCAGCTCCGCGGCCGACTCCCGGCCCAGGACCGTTGCCGAGGGGATGGAATGTCAATAATGGCACAATTCCATTCTCTCCATTTTCTCCAGGGCAACATCAACCACTGTGCCAGAGCTCAGGATCTCCTACTCCAGAGCATGGCAGAGTGGTCGATTCACGTGGCTGTGGTCGCCGAACCGTACTTCATTCCCGCCCGTGACAACTGGTTGGGATGCGCTGACGGTTTGGTGGCCATTATTGGCGAGACTCTGATCGACCCGTCTCGGGGCCGCGGCTGGGTTGCTGCGGTCTCGGGCGGCATCGTTATTGTAGGGGCGTATTTCTCCCCCAACAAGAGTCTCGCCGACTTTGAGGGTTTCCTTGTCGAGTTGGGCGCCGTCGTAGGCCGTTATCACCCTCGTCCCGTTCTGGTGCTCGGGGATCTCAACGCCAAGTCATCGGCGTGGGGATCTCCGGTCACTGACCCTCGGGGCGAGGTGCTAGAAGAGTGGACGGTGACGACTGGTCTGGTCGTCCTGAATCGGGGTTCGGAATACACGTGCGTGCGGCAGCGGGGTGGGTTGATAGTGGACGTCTCGTTTGCTAGCCCCTCTGTCGCCAGCCGAGTCCGTGATTGGCGTGTCGCCGCAGAGGTGGAGACGCTGTCGGATCATCGATATATCCGGTTCGACGTCTCTGCCCAGACTGCGAGCGGCCGCCATCCAACAACCCCGATTAACGAGGGCCCGCGTTGGGCGCTTAAGCGCATCGACAGGGAACTACTCGAGGAAGCTGCCCTAGTTCAGTCCTGGATCTGGGAGTCGACGACGGACGGCCCCGTCGACGTCGAAGCGGTGGCGCTATGGTTTCGCGGGGCGATGACGCAGATCTGCGACGCGTCAATGCCCCGTGTCCGCCAACGATCCGCAAAGCGCCAGGTGTACTGGTGGACCGCCGAGATCGCGCAATTGCGCATAGCGTGCGTTGCGGCTCGTCGCCGGTACACCCGATACCGGAGGCGGCGTCGACGGGATTCCACCGAGGAGGACGCGCTGTATGAGGTGTACCGCGCGTCTAAGGAGACTCTGCGGCTGGCTATCGGCGACTCAAAGTCGCGTGCCAGGGAGGAGCTACTGGGGTCCCTAGATCGGGATCCGTGGGGGCGCCCCTACCGTTGGATTCGGGGCAAGTTGCGTCCCTGGGCGCCTCCACTAACACAAAGGATGCAACCCCAGTTGCTAGAGTCGGTGTTATCGACTCTCTTCCCTGAGCGAGTGGGACACGTTCCCCCGGCGATGGCTTCGCCCTCAGCCACAGACTCTCCAGAAGAGGAGAGCACCGATGTCCCCGAGGTGACGCAAGCAGAGACGAGAGTGGCCGTGTCGCGACTCCGGGCTAAGAACACAGCGCCCGGACCCGACGGAGTTCCTGGTCGAGCTCTCGTCCTGGCTCTGAAGGAGCTAGAGCCCCAGCTGAGAGGGCTCTTCACGGCATGTCTCGAGCAGGGTCAGTTTCCCAGTGTGTGGAAGGAGGGGAGGCTGGTCCTGCTCAGGAAGGAGGGGCGCCCCGCGGACTCACCGTCCGCGTACCGGCCCATAGTGCTGCTCGACGAGGCGGGCAAACTTCTTGAGCGTATCATCGCAGATCGCCTCGTCGGCCACTTGTGCAGAGAGGGGCCGGACCTGGACGAGAACCAGTTTGGTTTTCGTCGCGGGCGCTATTACGCGCGTGAGGGCCCTGGCGGAGGAGACAGTATCCCGGGGTGGGGTGGTGCTGGCGGTGTCTTTAGACATCTCCAACGCCTTCAACACCCTACCCTGGAGTTGTATTCGGGAGGCACTGAATTACCATCGCGTGCCTCCCTACCTCCGCCGCATAATAGGGGCTTACCTTGAGGAGAGATGCGTTACCTATTGGGGACGTGACGGCGCTGGTCGGCGCGTCATGTCGTGCGGTGTTCCGCAGGGATCGGTCTTAGGACCGCTCCTGTGGAGCATCGGCTACGACTGGGTGCTGAGAGGTGAACTCCCGTCGGGCGCCGAATTGACGTGTTATGCGGATGACACGCTCGTCACTGCCCGGGGGAGTTCGCACAGGGAAGCAGCGTTGGTTGCCACGGCTGCGGTGTCACAAGTGGTGAACCGCATCCGGCGCCTGGGCCTGGAGGTGGCCCTAAGTAAGTCGGAGGCCATGGTGTTCCATGGCCCTCGACGCGCGCCGCCGCCGGGTTCACACATCGTGGTCAGCGGGGCCCGGATAGCTGTCGAGTCCACCATGAAGTATCTGGGATTGGTGCTCGACAGCCGATGGGAATTCGGACCCCACTTCCGGCGGCTGGCGCCCAAGCTGATGGGTGCAGCGGGCGCGCTATCAACGTTGCTTCCCAACTTGGGGGGCCCGAGCGCCGCCTGTAGGCGGTTGTACGTGGGAATCGTGCGGTCCATGGCCCTGTATGGGGCCCCTGTGTGGGCGATGGACATGACGGCCAGCACTCTCGCCATTCTGCGTAAACCGCAGAGGGCGATGGCCGTCAGAGTCGTCCGCGGGTATCGCACGATTTCCTACGAGGCGGCTTGCGTCCTGGCCGGATCCCCGCCCTGGGACCTAGAGGCGAAAGTACTCGCGTCATTATATCGATGGCGCGAGGAAGAGCGGGCACGGGGCTCGAGACCGGTGCAGCGGCAGATCGCGCTGCGCCGAGAGGAGCTCCGTCAGGTCTTGGTGGCGGAATGGCGGCAAAGGCTTCTGCGCCCTACCGCCGGCCTCGCTACCGTCGAGGCGATCCGGCCAGTACTCGACGACTGGCTCGGGAGAAGGCACGGCTCTCTGTCGTTTAGGGTGACGCAGGTGCTGTCGGGGCATGGCTGCTTCGGCAAGTACCTGCGCCGCATAGACAGGGAGCCGGACGCTCGGTGCCACCACTGCGTCCATTGCGGGGAGGACACGGCGCAACACACGCTCGCCGAGTGTGTAGCTTGGGAGGAGCAGCGCCGTGTCCTCACAAATAAAGTAGGAGGCGATCTGTCGCTGCCGGCCTTAGTGCGGAAGATGGTCGGTAGCGCAGAGTCGTGGGATGCAGTGGTATCCTTCTGCGAGGACGTGATGTCGCAGAAGGAAACTGCGGAACGGGAAAGGGAGATCTCGACTCCCTTCCCTGGCCGCAGAAGGCGCACCGGGCGCAGGAAAAGGGCGAACAACGCCCTTTTCCGGCCCCCATAAATGGGTCCAGGGGCGAGGGACTTGGGGAAGCCCCCGCCACCCCTACTCGATGGACCCGAGGCGGAGGCGCGCGCGGGTGTCGGCGCGCGCCCCTGAGGCGATACACGGGGTAGTTTAACACCTCACTACCCCGTGCAGGAGACGAGGCCTGGACGGACCGGGCCAGCACTAGTGTGGGGCTGCGGAAGAATTTGGATTCCCGCGGCCCCACGCGCACGTGTGAGGAGACACCGGGGTGGTTTTAGCCGGTAAGAGTCCGGCACGCCCCTCCGCCTTTCCCCAGGCGGAGGTAGTCCATGAGGATTTCCCCCCGTAAAAAAAAAAAAAAAAAAAAAAAAGGTTAGGTTAGGTTAGGTTAGGTTAGGTTAGGGTAGGTGAGGTTCCCCCCCGAACGGGTTCCCGCCTTGTCGTGGCGGGGGGGCTTAGTAGCCGTGGCTTGGTCACCCACGGTGAACAAAGAGGAACCCCTTGGCTGGCCCGTGGTGTAGGGCCGGCCCGAGGTGGCCACTCCGAGTGGGCTTGGTGAGCCCACTTCGGATGTGTGTCAGGGGGCTGCGGTGAGAGGGGAGTCCGCACCCTCTACCACTGCAGCCGAGGTGGAGTCGCGGAGGAAGAGGAGTGTTGGTATGGCAATGCGCCACTCGCCCTATCCTCCGCGACTCAGACGGGGCCGCACCGTTAATTGATGCGGTGGTGGTGGGGCTGCGGAGGGAGAGGAGTGTCGGTATTGCGAGGCGCCGCTCTCCCTACCCTCCGCAGCCGAATCTTGGTTGGCGGCGGAGCCATAGACCAGATCCGCCGCTGGGGTCAGGAAGGCTGGTGCTACTG